TATAGTCCTTCCATCTTCTTTTAATACTTCCTGGATCATTTAATATTCTGCCCAAAGCATCCTTGATTACAGCAACTCTAGGTTTGAATCTGTTCTTCATAATTATGTAATCAGTGTGTATATGATATATAATAGAAATATAACTTAGAAAAATTCACACATGTGTACAAGGAGAAATGCATACGTATTGTAGGATTTTTTATAATAGCACAAAATTAGAAATGAGAATCATGAGGAAACAACAGATGAATAAGTTATGACATATTTGTACAGCTCTGGTGGCCTAGCGGCAAGAAGTTGCATTTCAATCCCAAAGGCACACAGTTTATATCCATGAAGCTGCTCCATGGGAGAAAGTTGGACAATCTTCTCCTGTGTGCTTAACTGCCTCTGAAAACCTGCCAGAGGGTTAGCTATGGGTTGGTTCCGACTCCATACACAATAATACACTTGGTACACAGTAACAACTATAACACAATGCTCTATTATAGATCAATGCAGATGAATGAACTAAAACTACAGGCATGTATGTAGGAGACTCTTATATTATTGAATGTAAAAAACAAACCAAAAGACACAACCCCAAGATGCAGAAGCACCCTGAATATGATAAAGCTTATTTAAAGATGATAAATATGCAAACGTTTGAATCCTATTTAGTAAGACAGGATCCAGATGACACTGGATTAAATATTGGGTTGTTCAACAAAAGATCAATGATTTCAACTCACCAGCTGCTTCCAGGGAGAAAGATATGTTTAGAAAACCCAATGGGGTAGTTTTACTCTGACCTATAGAATCATTATGATGCAAGCTGAGTTCCTAGCTACAAAATAACCTCTCATCTCTTGATTTGTGATTTGATTAATGAATCCTAGTTTAAAAGAAAGACAGATAAAGAAAGGAAGAGGGATCAAAGAGAGAATGTGGAGTAAATGCTTTTACATGATACAGAAGCTGTAAGAGTACGATCTCTGTTCATGTACTCACCTTCCTTCACAGCTTCTTTGCCAAGAGACTCGAGTATCTCTATCCTCTTATCCTGGTTACCTGCCAGGGCAAAAGCATAGGCCAGCAGTGCCTTAGTGTAGACATGGGTGCCTTGGGCTCCATCTTGGGCTGATTTCCAGGCTGACTCCAGGCAGAACAGGGCATTACGGACAACAGGGTGCTGTGAAAGGAAAGCAATGGCACTCTGTGTTATGTGAACAATGAGCCTGGCATTTCTGGGTAAACCAATATTATCCAGGAGGTAATAATGCTTTTCAAATGCATTTTTATATCCTCATAGATTAAAAAATATTATCCTAAAAATATTGTCCTCATTTTTATGGAAAGAGAAAAAAAAATCTCTTTTATCTGCTATTTTCACATTGAGATGATTCGTGAAGTAGTGGTAGAACTCTTGCCTTCCATACAAAAGAACCTCCTAGTCACTGAACCTCAAGCACAGTAAAGGCTTTGATATTGAAAAGATTTCTTTAGAGTTTCCAGATTAAAATGAACTAGGAAGTTAATGATATAATTCCCAGAAACCAGCTATTGAAAACTTTGTGGATCACAATAGTCTGGCCCCCTAGGGCAGGCATGAGGTAAGCAAACATTGGACGATCTGGTGGCAAATAACACAAACATTTTCACATTAAAAAGAGTTGAAATATAGACCTTGTCTTTAGAATTATTGTCATAATTTTGTAGGTTGTGGGTGTGAGTAGGGGAGAACTACCTTAGGGGCTATCTGGGAAAGTATATATCTTTCTTTTTTTTTTTAATATCTTTATGTATTGACAGGTCATGGTCTTCGCAATCACCTGTTATGCATCAGAGAGCTGGACAATGACCAAGGAGGACAGAAGGAGAATTGATGCCTTTGAGCTGTGGTGCTGGAGAAGAGTATTGAGAATACCATGGACTGCTAGG